CTCAAACTCAGGCGTCCTTACGCCGTTCCCTTTGCCCATCTTGGGCTTCCTTCCCCCCTCAGGAATCCGGACGCGAAACGCATCACGGATCCTTATTGAGAGGGTCAGTTTGGAGTGAGGTCTGCCGTGATCATTTTCTGTGCTACGCCTTTGGCAGTCTCTCGCGCCTGGTTTGGAAGCTGTCTGAAGCCCATCGCCCCCAGCGCTTCACTAGGGAGGTGTCTTGGTACTGTGCCCACAGGGCACTTGCCCCACCGAACCTCAGCGAGTGAGCGCCCAGGTCCCCTTCCGGGAGTCCCAGACCTTTGGCTGCCCTGACGGATTTCACAACACACACCTTTTCCGCAGTGCGAAAGTGGTTTCTGACCTGTCCCCGATTGTAGACGTCTGTCTTGGATCCTCGCACCAGAAGGGTGACTTCGTCAACTTCGCTGATCCGGTTCAGCGCCACGGCATTGCCATTGAGCTTCAAGGTGACGTCGGACCCACGCAGGCCTCTTCTGGGATCTTGGTACCCGACATCAAGGTATTCCGAAGCCCGAAGTAGGAAGAAAAATCCCAAGGTGAGGGCGCCCCAAAGGAGGCTAGCTTCCTCGGCCCTTCCATACTGCAGATGTTCCCCAAGCCATTTCAACATGTCTGGAGTCACGGGGTCGCAACCCGGCCAGGGCAAGCGGGATCCTTGGCGTGTGCATCAAGAGATCTGGGTATCCCAACGTCAAGTGCATGCTGCGTATGGCGGAAAGTCGCAGTTTGATGGCGCCCGGTGCTTTGGCTTCATTGGAGGCACAGTGGACCAGGAAGTCGATGACCAGTTGTTCCTCTTGACGGCTATAGGCCGGAACATGTCTGACTGGGTCTTCACCCCTTCGTTTGCAGAAGAGTGACCACCAGCCCCATTGCGACTGGTAGCTGGCGGCTGTGCTCTGCGAGTACCTCGAAAGTAACAGTGAGAATCCTTCTTGGTCGAATTCGTGCCGTCCTTGAACTTGAGCAAACCTAAAGCTCTTTCCCGCGGGGTGCCTTCTGGCAGCAGCCCTTGGTCCACCCAGGAAACGCACGTTGGGTTCTTGCACGACTCTTCTACCTTTCTTGGGGGGGCTGAATCTCACTTTCTTTCTGGTTCCGCCGACTTTGGTGGCCTCCAAATAGACCTTTGCCGATCCTCCTGGGTGGTTTGACCCCCATTTGGAAAGGAGTCTTCTGATGGCCAAAGCCATGGCTAGTATAAATGCCAGCAGTAGGCTGTCAAAAATCATTCCTGAAGCCTGATCGAGATCCCACTCAGCTTCAAGGGCGCAAAAATCATTCCTGAAGCCTGATCGAGATCCCACTCGGCTTCAAGGGCGTCTCCAGGACTCCTCTTCAGTCCTTGGTCAAAATTGCTGAGGTTCGGGGCGGAAAGACCTCCGGCCAAGGAGCTCCCCTCGGCAGTCTGGTGCGCGATGGCGTGATTGCGGTCACGCTCAGCGTCGTCTTTGGTATGCCCTTGTCCCTCGCGCTTCCGCTGCTTCTTGATCTTCTTACGGCTGGCGGTGTCTGGCGCCCGCTTGTTCCAATTGCCCTCTCGTCGAGCCTCATTCTGGAGGTCCGCTCTGAAGGTTCGAAGGTCTTTTTGGGCTGCATCATGAAGCGCTTTGTCCAACACCTTACCGGCTTCTGCAAGATCAACATCCAACAAGGGTCCTGTTCCTGGTCCCTTCTCTGCTCGACTCCAGGTGTCGACCTCCTGTCGGCGCTGAGCCGCTCTTTCTCGTGCCCTTTGGGCTCTTCTGGCAACAGACGGATCTCCCCGCCTCAATCTCTTGCTTCAGTCGGTGATCAGAAACAAGCGGAACCCCAGTCCTTGGACCGACGGGGTTCGCGAGCTCAAGTCGTAACATCTGATCGTTGAGGCCTGCCCGGTAGTCGGTTTCTGCCTCAGTGTAGTGCTTGACCCTTTGGGCTCGCTCTTCGGCTTTGGCTTCAGCCTCCGTCTTACTCTTGAGTCTTGCCTCGGGCGAACTGGTTGAGACGCTCCACGAACTCCGACTTAACCTGAGAGGCTGCTGGGGCTTGCTGGACAGCTTCTTGGAGACATGCCCAGTTGGCGGCGTCGGCGTCGGCCACAGCTTTGAGAAGATGCAGGTGCACATCCCCGAAGTTGACCTTTCGCCTTCGAGGCCTGGGTAAGTCTCCTTCGGTGATCATTTCAATGGAAGGTATTCGATTCCCTTGGCATCTCCAGGGGGCGGTGGCGCATTGGGCACACCCTCTGCTGCTGGTGCTCCTCCTGGGGTCTCTGTTGCACTGGGGACGTCGACACTCTCTTCAACCTTCGTGGGTATCACTTCTTCGCTCTTTGGAAGAGCTGCGGTCGTTTCGGCTTTGGGCTGAGCCCTTCGGTCAGCCCTTCAGTCTTCTCTTGTTTAGGTTCTACAAGTTCTGTATAGACGCTCCTGCTGGGATGGCCTGGGCGATTTCCACCTCAGAGTCAGTGCCCCCCCAATCAACTTCCATTTCTCCCTCTGCTTCCCCGGCGAAACGCGCCTCGGGTCGCGAGGTCCACAGCAAGGCCATCTTCGAAGTTCTCGGGTAAGTTGCTCCCGAGGCCTTTGGCGACGTCTAGGATCTCTTCGGTACTTGGATGTGCGGTTGGGGTTGTAAGTAGTTAGCCTCGTTGTCCAGCTTACTAACCGAATATAAGTAGACTATAACTTAGGTATAAGCTGGTTGCAAATGTGGTAACTAACTTGCAACCGTGTTAAGTTCGCCTCTATGCTGCCTATGTGCACTTGTGTTCCTGTCTGTACTTACTAAGATGATATAACCACTTAGTAAGTCCAACGCGAAGATAGCGAACATATGATCTACTTAATGTGAACTTACTATCTTAAGATATGTAAGTTCGATATATGTTTTAGTTGAGGATATCCAACTTAGTATCTATGTTTATAAGTTCGACAGGTCGAACTTAGTCGAACTTAGTGTCCGTTTGTCCCGCTGTGCAGCCTGGTGATATTTGGGATCAGCAGTATGCACCTGATGGGGCAGGTGATTAAGCGGAGTATTAAAATCACCACACACTATGATTTGATGTCTCTGGGGCAAGCGCTCAAGACAATGCTGCAGGAGTGTCCATATGTGTTGCCTCTTCGAGAGAATCTGTCGGGTCCCATGCGTTGTGGACCAGGCCTGTTGGTATACGATCACAAAGTCCTGTGGCCTGGAAAGATTCAATCGTACCTGCAATAGTCGGCCATGAGCATGGTGAGCTACTGAGATCTGATCATGTCGAACAATTGCCGTGCGAATCATGAACAAGATCGACGCGAATCGATCGGCAGAGTGCACGATGTGCCAGCGCTTGCTGCTCCATTCATTGGTCATCGACCATCCTGATTCCTGCACGGCAATGACGTCGTATGGACTCGTATCGCACCAGGTTAACCACGAATGATATTCGAGCATTCGTGAGGCATTCCACTGAAAAACCCGAAGCCGTCCCATCCCGGGGGAATTCGGTGTATGTGCAGGAGTTTTCATTTTAATGGTGGGGGTTCTGGCATAAATGTGCTGTTTGATTCGAAATGGGATTTGGTGAGAGTAAATCGGTTTGCCCTTAAAGGTGGCATGTCCTTCCCTGAGAGCTCTAGCACAGGCTCGGGTGTATGCTCGCTTTAGTCTATTGCATCGTGAGCGTGACTCAATAGGCCCGAGGCCCGACGACGCCCAAGCCTCATGGCATTTCGCAGGAGTGCCAGAAGGTGCAGGTGCAAAGCTGCTCCCACCCATCCCTGAGGCCAGATGGGTAACCCTCGCGCCGAATCCTCGGATGGTTCTATCAATGCCAAAAATGACTAGAGGATTCTCCGGACTTGGGACCGGACTACTCAGGAGTACAAGAAAAAGCGCAATCGAAGGCCAAAATGGCAGCGTGGAGGTGGCAATCGAATCTAGTGCTCAACAAGAACAAAACGAAACATGGCGTCGTTTTGCCGGGTCCGTGATCACGCGCTACTCTTGATCTGAGATGGCGCTTTTGAGGAAGATTATTAGAATACATATTTCATAAATCCTGAGGAATGAACGACCCTGCAATCTTCTCCCCAAAAGTCCTGAACCCGGCCAAGTTCGTAGCATAACAGTGTATTATCTTGCACAGTGGACTTACCCTTCATCAGGCTTTATTTTGCGGGAAAAGAGCATGAACCTGAACGAACGGCGATAATAGTCTTCAATCGAACTGTCCGAAAGTGATCAGTGCACTGCTTTGGTCAGAGCAACGACTTTGCTGAAACAAAATGTGTTTACGCAGTCATTGAATGCACTTCTCTGCAGTCCTTGCGGATTTGTCTCACCCAAACAGCTGGTGGTGCAGTACCAGTACCACCTTGCAGGGAGGAGGTATGGATGCTTGTATTATTTTTATCTATCAACTTCGTGATTGTCCAGATATATATATATACATATAAATCTCAACAAGTTTATTCAACCTCCATCCACCTCCTCTTTCGAACAGCGTGCGCAAAACAGAACCAAACACGAAAGAGAACCTGTTTCTGAAACACCGTCCTGATGTTGGCAAAGGAATATTCTGGAGCTCATGGGCAATCAGCAGCTTCATATGATAAGACGAGGGGATGACAGCCCATTTCCGGTCTGTGCCGGTGAAGATGGGCGGCAAACCAAATGTGATGGCATCCTTGTCGATGACCCCGCCCACGTTTTTCTCCGCAATCATTTTTGCACCTTCGTCAGTCTCAACATTCTTCACCAAAGAGAAGCCTTGCTTGGCGATGTTCTCCAGGTGAGCCCTGGCCGCTGCATTTTCCACACACGAAGGCAGCCCGGGACATCGCACAACGGCAAAGGGGTCGAAGGTATCTTTCTTCCGAATGAGGCTCTCCAAAGCCTGCTTGGTGGTGTAAATGTCGCCGCCGAAGTAGTTGTAGAACATCTCTGCTAAGTCTGCGTCCATACCCCAATCATCCTGCAGCATCTTGATCATGTCTGACTCTGGCACTTCGCCGATGAGAATGATGTTGCCGATGTCCCTGAGGTCTAACCCTGCAGCTTGCAGGCGGAAGGGATACCCAAACTCTGAGGAGATGAGGACTACGCTCGACAGCTTGTCTTGCTTTGTCCATTGTGTCATCGCGGCCAAAGCTGACTTCGCTTCGCGCCTCTCCCCACCATCCTGTCCATTTGTCAAGCCGGGTAGTGCAAGGTTTGCCTCGTCCACCACAATTGCAGGTTTTTTGGATGTTCTGCCCACGATCCGTAGAAATTCATCCAGCGCAAACCTAACCCTTTTCCTTTTGTCTGCAGCCAGACTAACAACATCCCTCACATTCATGGCAATGGTAGCCGCTGCCTGACCGAGGTCTCGAAAAACCGCAAAAGCTGCAGCCAAAATCGCCGAAAGTGCAGGAATGAATGGCTTGAACTCTTCTTCAGTGGTCATGTTCTCCACGGTACTGTTAGCAACTTGTAGCAACACCTCCAGCAAATTTTCTCCAGGATGGCTTCTCATGTCCTCTGAGAGGACCATCACGTTGGAACCACACCTTTGCAGAGCTATTTTTTTGAGAAATGTTTTTCCTAAGTTCTTGCCCCCCAAGACCAAGGTG